ATTCTTCATCATTCCCCTTTACCTGCCGCTTCCAGTCTGTTGCCAGGTCCAGTAGTACATGAAGCTGCCCTTCCTCTACCTCCCTGCTGCCACCTGGTCCCCTCAAGCCTGGACTGTGGCAGCAGCTCCTAACAGGCCTCCACGGGTTCTCTTGCCCCTTCCAACCCATTTATCCCTACAGTGGCAAGCTCCTGTCTTCTAACTCCTTACTCATTATTTCCTTCATGGCAGGCATTCCAGCTGGTGTGACCTTGTTTATTTATTTCTTTGCTTACTTGCCTGTCTTCTTCCCCCTCCAGAATCTGAGCTTCCAAGAGAGCAGTGCCTTTTTGTATTGTATTCACCCTCATGGCCCCCATGGTGCCTGGCATGCGGAGGGGACCATATGGACGAGGGATTGAACCAGGGTAGGTGATGTTGGAAGCACCCTCAGAAATGGCACATCGGAAACATCAAGAAGAATCCTTTCAAATGCACTGAGAACACATACCCAGCTCCCCACTCCATTTTGACCTGGGCCCTGTGTCGTCTTCCCTCTTCCCCCAGCGGGGCTCCTCCCCTGTGTTAGGTGTCATGTTGAGATCATCTTCCATTACTACTGGAAGGAGGCTTTCTCCCTGAGAAGTGATGACAAGGTAGGGGCGTGAGAGGGATACCATTGTCCTAGACCAGCATGCCCCACCCGCACTTCTTTGACCCATAATCCGAGCACGACGTGCCTGTTCCCTCGCCATCCAGTGCGCACCTGCGTACATTTTGCATTTCACAGATTGTCTTACTTACATCCCACTTACTGCTGTTCTCGTCCCTTTGGTTTTCTTCTGTTGCATAAAAACCATGCTGGTTGTGACCTGTAATGTGGATTTCATGACCCACTCGTGTGATAGCCCACAGTTTGAAAGTCATGTTTAAAATTTAGTATTAATCTCAAGAATTCACAGCCTAACTTGGAGCCCCCACATGAAGGCCCCTATGTGCTAAGGCAGGCTGATGGAGGATGTGCTACGTGTGGGTCCGTGGGGCTGTGTGAAGGGATGGGAGAGGTTCACGAGTTGCTTAGAGACATCTCAGAAAAAATGTTACTGTTACAAGTTAGATTTAAGACTTAATTTTGTTGTTTTATCTTCTTTGTTTTTTAACCTTTCTAACTAATCAGTTCTTACTTCAATATAGGCTTCCTCTTGCTTACTGATGTTTTTTATTGCTCACAAGGAGCTGTCTATTATTCCCCAGGTGCTTTTTAATTAAAAAACAAAAGTGGGCTGCATCCGTGTCTTCTTACTCAATTTATTTTCCCCCTCTACTTTTCGCATTAGTATTTTTCAAGCTGTATGGGCGTGTATGAAAGATCTTCACTCAGAGACACATTTTCGTCTTTGTAAACATGTATATAGATAGATGTCATCTGAAAGAATAGGTATACACAAAAATATCTCTCAGTGAAGATCTTTCCTTCCTTATTATTTTGAATTCTGTCATATTTCCTGATGTATGGCCCCCCACAGTTGTCCTGGTTTATATTTTTATTTTTTATTTTTTTAAAGATCTTATTCATTCATGAGACACACACACACACAGAGACAGAAACACAGGCAGAGGGAGAAGCAGGCTCCATGCAGGGAGCCTGATGTGGGACTTGATCCCCATGTGGGACTTGATCTCCAGACTCTAGGATCATGCCCTGGGCTGAAGGCAGATGCTCAACCACTGAGCCACCCAGGGATCCCCAGTTGTCCCGGTTTAAAAAAAAAAAAAAAATCCCTGTTCTTCAGATGAGATGCAGAAATTTCTGTAAAAGCCCTGACTCTAAACTTATTACACAACTATAATCAAATTACAGCTGCCTTTCCCCTGTTAGGGGCATTAAATCCAATTTTTCCTGTCCTAAGAAACTTGAATATTCTCTCTGTGCGTATTCCCATTACAAGTTTTTTCGAGCTGACCTTTTTATTCTTCGGAGCCGTTACATGAGACCAAGAAGGACACTTGCAGATGAGATGCAGTGCCAGGCTCTTTCTGTCCCTTTCAAGCTCTGTACGGCCATTGGAGGGAGTAGACAGATGATTGTGTTCCCGTGGGTGTGTCCTGAAGATGCCGCTTTTATTCAATTTTCACTCTTGGGAATGGCAGGTATGAGATTTTGAAGTTTGTGTCTGGTCTGCAAAAACCTAGCAGCAGTTCCAGGGGTCCTGGTGAAATGCAGAACTGATCCAGGTAGGAGTCGCCATGACCTGAATGAAGCTTGGGCAAGTGTCTGTGGTGAAGACTGTTGTAGATGGCATGCTGACCAGTTTGAAGTCAGACCTCAGCTTGATGGGCTTGATGACCACCGTGTGAAGACCTGGGTGAAAGAAAACTTTGAGCATTGATTGAGCTTCCAGGCTGCCGTGAGTCAGAATTGGCTTTCTGTGCGAGGGACAAGTGACTGACCAGAGCAAGCGCAGGCCCAGCAGTACCTGGGAGTTGCTGGAGGCTCCTCCCACTGCTGCTGTTGGTACTTGGTGCTTCTTTATGATGGACGGCTCTGGGAAAACCAGATCTGACTGAACGAAAGGCATTGGACAGCCAGCTCTGCTCCTGTTTTTCCGCCAGAGAGGAGATGTTCATGACATCACCATCACGGTTACAGGTGTTTGACATCAGGCTATGGCTGGGCCTCACACCCATTCCTAAGGGGTTTTTTATTTGGCCAACAGGAAGCCAAGACTTTTTGGGGACCCTGATTTGTCCAGGACCACACAGGAACCCTCTCTGTGGTTCCAGAATTCCAGATTGCTACTGTCACTACCCCCCCCACCCAGCTTCTTGCACCTGGATTGTTAATTTGCAACCCATCCCCCCCCCAAGTGTGGGTTTTTTCCCATTTAGTTCATAAATGGTAATGTAGTATAATAAAAAAGGAGATGTAGGCCAGGATTAGAAGAAACCACATTCTTGTCTTACTGTTATTTGCCTAAGAGGGTCAATTGTCCTTCATTTCTTTGTCATATTTTTATTCCCTGTAAGATTAAATGGCCCCGCCCTGAAAGCCACCTTGACAACAGAGCCCTTAGGTTCCCAGAACTGAAAAAATGTCATTGCAGAAATGCCTGGGTTGCCAGAAATGCCTGGGTTGCCTGTGGACCCTGGCCCTCAAGGTAGCAGAATAGAGGCCCTGTGTTCCAGCAAAGCAGAAAGGTCCCATCCCATGGGAAGCCTTTTGGGTGGAGTCAGGCCAGGACCCGCCCCTGCCAAGGAGTTGCTAGCTTTTGTGGTTTGTTCTTTACCCAAATTTGTAGTTGCTGGTCTGGCCGGTCCTCCCCCTCCCCTCTGGAAAATGTGCTTTGCATCTCTTTTCCAAAGGAAAGAACAGGTGGGTCAGCTCTTTGGTGACCTGCCTGCTTTGCTGGGAGAGTCTCATGGGTGCCCCTGAACTGTTCTGGGCTTGAAAATGCACGCGTGAAAGGAAAGGCTACATAAGGACGTTGAATTTCTCCAAGTTGGCATTTTTCACGTCTTTAAACATCCAGACGGTTACACTGGGACGTTGGTGTCCAGCTGAGGCCGGTTGGCCTGCCTGAGATGTGTGTTTGGGCTCAGGCCTGTGCCCCTCCACACTGGGGGGGGGCGGGGGGGGTAGGCTGGGGTGGATCCGACCAGACGCTGATCTTGGCTTTCTGAGCCATTCTCTGTTCTCACTGCACCAGAAAGAGTTAACTCCAGTTTTTGCTGCTTCCTTGGTGTTGTGATAGTAAAGAATTTTAATGGGTTCCGTGAATAAGTCTGTAAGTAAACTACTTGGTGAACTCCTGACTGAAATACAGAGTTTTAAAAGGCTCTTTAAAGATTTTAGGAATAACTCATTTTTTTGTTTTCCTTCTAAGGGGTTTTCTTGGAGTCTCTCCCCTCCCTCCCAGAGTTAAACAGTCTCATTGTTTGCTTTCTCAATGTTTCCCTAGTACAATAGTTCTGAAAAGAAGAGAGCCAGTCCCTTGGCTGCAAGCATGGGGTGGGTGCGGGTTTATGTAATTTGACTTCTTTTCTCTCCAAATCAGTAAATATTTACAAACGACCTTTTATCAAACAGCTTGGGTACATTCGGTGACTTGAAAGCTTGCAGCGAGAGTAGCGACTGCCCGGCCTGCTGCCAGTTCCGTGGGCCTCACAGGAAGGATTGACATTATTATTATTATTATTATTATTATTATTATTATTATTTTATTATAAAAATGCTGTCCACAGACCCAAAGTGGGCCTCCAAGCAAATCTTTCCATGGAACCAGTTTTAGGAAATTTGCATTTTTAAGTTTGACTTCTAAGGACTCCTCTGCCCTTAGGCCCCAGGGGGGTGGAGTACTGGGAACCTGGGAGTCCAGAAAATAAATACCGGCCTCTGGCTTAGATTTCCCACTGCTGCCTGAGTTCTTTTGTTTCTCGGGGAAGGTAATTACAGAATTCCATGTGAAGCTTAAATGTGTTCTTTGGTGAATAAGTAGGAAAAAACAAGTGGATTACTTTTCCGTTTTCTTGCGAAGTGGTCCCGAAATGAGCCGGTTTTCCAAACCCAAGTCTCAGATTTTTTTTTTTTTTTTACAGTGGAGATGGGAGTTTGGAGACAGCCCACCCTCTTTTTTCTTTCAACATGTGAAATCTGACCAAGTTAGGACTCACTTTTTTAGAAAGGGGATACCTGTGTCCTTCAGAGTTGACACTGAAAAATAATAAAGGAATCTGGGTTTGGGGGCCATCGGGATATGAACATCACAATATTACTGTCCCGGCATCACCTGGTAATAGTGCGCTCATTTCGTCTGCCGGCCCTAATCCAGGTAAGACTGCCCCACATTTTATGGTGCCGTACCATCAGTGTCCACTATTACATATTTCTGGCTGGCGAACAATGACAAATAAGTGAGAGGCTTTTAAAAATAAGTAACTGTGGTAATTGCTCTTTGTCTACTTACTGCAGAATACTGAATGTTTCTTTATTAATCATTTTTATGTTTTAATTCTCTTTGCAGAGCATCGGGAAAGGGTCATTGTGGTGCATAGACCCAGAGTATAGACAAAATCTAATTCAGGCTTTGAAAAAGACACCTTACCACCCATACTCACACGTGTTCAATACACCTCCTGCCTCTCCTCAGGCATATCAAAGGTAAGCAATTCAGAAGTCGTCTTTTTTTTTTTTTTTTTGGTCTACTGAAGTTGCATTATTTTGGCAGAGACAGGCACTGAAACTAATTTAATAGACTGTATGATATGAAAAATAACTGTAGATAAATGAGAAAGAAATGCAGTATTATTGGAGGCATACCCACTGTTGTGTTTCCTGCCAACCTTACCGCTTCTGCTGCTTCGGAGGAACGTGCTCAGAAGGCTTCACAGTGGGCGAAATACTGTCTTCCTGGGTAGAAACATTTACAAAGAAAAGTTGACAGCTTTAACATCTCCATGTGTCACGGTTTGTTGGGATAGAAGTACAGGCATGAGTCAGGTAAGCGCTTCCATCTTCCCAGCATCTGACTCAGAATGTCTACAGGTGTTCGCTGAAGGACTCACTTGATTGTTGTCATTCCTGGTCTCCATGTAGATGGTGCTCCAGAGCGATCATTTTGTTGTAGTTACTTGGTGTTTGGCTCTTCAAGGAGAACAGCAGGGAACAATAGAGACTTTTATTCCTCCTCACATGCCCATTTGTTTTGAGACAGTGAGGTCATGGGTGCCATTTTTACAAAGATGTAATTGGAGGGGAGAGTAGGAAGCCTGTCACTTAAAAGAAAAAAAAAAAGATAAAAGAAGGTGTTATTGTTAGATTCCAAAAAAATAGCCCCATAACACAGATACGAATTTTAAAATTGATTTTATCTCACAAAGCACTAGAGTTGGAAATGGATCCTTTTACTCCTGAAGGGGTAAAAAAAAATTTTTTTTTAATATAAAGAAGTGTTTCGATTGTAAACACGCAGTTGAGAGAAATCATCCTTGGGCTACAAGTTTATGTCAGTGAGGGATGGCGTGGATTCGTAGATTTCCGTGGTTTTATGGTCCACTTCTTTGCATTCTTTCCCTTGTCTGGTGTTCGCTCTGCAGAGGGGAGTATGGAGTGAGATCCTCTGAAACCGCATTAATGAAGTTCTTGTGTATCTTAGTTGAGAAGCATTCCATCACAGGCCCTAGACAATCAGTCTTCAGCAAGAGACGCGGAGGAACAGCTGGGCTCTCCGAGAAGACTGCTGTATGTCTGCCTTTGCTAGGCGATTAGCGTGATGGTAGCCATAGCAACTGGAGCATCTCCATAGTAACGCGTAGCCGAGACAGGTGCAGTTGCATCACAAGGCTGTTTGTTGCCTGGCAAAAGGACAGGCCATTAGTACTTAGATATACGCTGTTGCCTTAGAAACAAATAACCCTACATAGCAACTACAGTTGGTTTGAAAGATTTGGGGGAGGAAAAAAAAAAGGTTGTAGCGGCTTTTGTCTATGTTCATAAAAATCAGCGCAGGCATACTTTATTGGAAATGACAACTTGAGGTCATATAGCTGTAGGAGATAAAATGGGATTTTCCAAAGCAACCCAGCCTACATTGTAGAAATGTCCAGAAGGACAGAGCCATATGCTTGGTTTTCTCCTTGTGGCTGTAGCTACTCCTGAGATGGAAGGGAACTGGGATGCAAGATTCGCTGATCGCCGAGGTTGGTAGGGGAGGCAGTGACACTTACTGGAAGTCTCCCCCAGATTCTCCAGGTCCTTTGTCATTCTGCTCCCTACCCATCCCTCCAGACCCCACAGAAAACCCTCACTCTCCTCCCCAGTTTGTGTCTTGGGAGTATTTCATATCCTTTTGTTCCTAGGAAGTTAAGAACATAAGTGTTACTCACTGGGTCATATCATTGGTTCATTTAGACGGTATTTTGTTGCCAAATGTGACCCCAAGGGAGACACAGTAATTATTTAATAATTTGAAGGATTATGGCAGAGCTCTGGGGGTTGCAGACGCAGGCAGAGGCTTACTGAGCTGGCCTAAACTTAATGACTTCATTTGATTTTTTTTTTAAATATAGGCATAAAAATGCAGACAAACCAGAGCTTTTGTAATGAGAATAATTTCTGATCGAATACTTCAGATCCCGCTCTGTCACCTCCAGTTCCTCTTCTCCCAAGTGACTGAAGAAAAAAAAGTTTCTGTATCTACCCACGCAGGCACTCAGATTTCACCTCCGTAAAGGTCACTGGATGTGTGGAGTGAGATGGCATATCAGATTCTCTCTAGCTGGCCTCTTCTGTGTCTTCAGTCTGAGGGCAAGTCACTTTTCTCTGTCCTGGAGACGACAGTCCCTTCGTCTCATGCCTAGATTTTGTTTCAGGATCCTCTGGTGTGTGTCTTTGTACTACAGATCCTAAATACCAGATGACTACGGTATTTGTGTAGGTCACAGTGAAGTGACATCCCAGTCAATGCTAAGCCATCGGGCCACTTGTTGGTGTGACTCAGGGAAGATGGACATGGGACAAAGCAAGTCATTGAACAGGGCCCAAAAATGCCAGCTTGACCTGGTGTGGCAGGTCTGCTGGGCTGCAGGGAATCACTTGTCAGCCCCTTGCAGCATTGGCACGAGGGGCACCTGGGAAGTGCTCAGCAATCAGGAGCTGGTGCTTAGCCTGCTGAAGACGGTGATTAGACTCGATGGCTGGTTTCACTAGGACTTGCAGGTGTGCTTGGCAAGTAGCGCTCTGCACCGGGCTGCAGGTGGCTGAAAACTGCAGGGAAAACGAGGCCTCTGAAAACATGGCCAGTTATGATGCTAACTGTGGCAGCCCGTAGATCAGGCCCCTGGGTTCCAGCACGCCTTTTGGGAGGCTTGTTAGGCCCCGTACCTGTTTCATTTGGTGCCACAACCGTGAATGGTTTTCGATGGAAATGCAGAGCTCAGCGACCTCAGCCCTTGGCTTCATGGGGCTGTGGTAACAGGGCAGGAACCAAGTGAAATAACAGAAATTTACTTTCTCACTGTTGAGAGGCTGAAAGTCAGAGATCAAGTTGTCAGCAGGGTTGATTCCTTCTGAGGTTGTGAGAGAGTATCCTTCCCAGGCCTCTGTCCTAGTGTGTCTGGTGGCTGCTGGTGTTCTGTGGCATTCCTTGGGTTGGAGAGGCATCACCTCAGCTCTGCTTTCATCTCCACGTGGTGCTCTCCTGGTGTGCTGTCCATATCCCAATCCCCCCTTTGTATAAGGATGGGAGTCGTATTGGTGGAAGGGCCTACTCTCCTTTGGTATGATCTCGTTTTCACTAAGTAGACCTCCAATTACTCTTCACATCTGAAGTACTGGTGGCCAGGACTTTCCCATGAATTTTGGTGGGAGGGGACACAAGCAATTTCACTCATAACAGCCCTTTCCTTAGTAAGGCATTATTTTTTTTTAATATTTTATTTATTTATTCATGAGAGACAGAAAGGGAGGCAGAGACACAGGCAGAGGGAGAAGCAGGCTCCCATGGGGAGTTTGATGTGGGACTTGATCCCATGACCCCTGATGTGGGACTCGATCCCAGGATCACGGCCTGAGCCGAAGGCAGATGCTCAACCACTGAGCCACCCAGGCGCCCCATTACTAAGGCATTTTTGATGGTAAAGATACAGAGAACCAGAAAATAAGGAGTGACTCAAAACACAGAACAGTGGGGCACCTCAGAGGGATACTGGAGCCAACCGGAAATTGTTCCCCGTGGCCAAAACTGGGACAATTTGAGGAGCAAAATAAATAACAGTGTTGGGTTATGACCCCGAATGTGAAGTAAATACCTAGGAGTCCACACTGAGGTAAATAAATGACAGAGTAAGTAAATGGGTAGGGAGACAAATCTCCCATACAGAAGACTTCCAGACGATTTAGGGAGATCCTCTTCCACTCCACGAGTTAGAGCTTAATTCCCCATCCTGAGTGACCACACTTTTAATGACTTACTTGCACAGAGTGAGTATGGACGGAGCAGAAGAGGAAACTTATAGCGGGGAAAAGCTGGTACACACCACCTTGGCCAGGTGATCAGAGCTAACGCCCATGGTGAGATTGGGACAGTAGGCACCTTTGAGATGATGTCATGGAACTGACAGTTCACCTCTGCAGTCTCCGCCGGGCCCCCAAATCCATAACCCTGCTTAATTACAGGGAAAACACCAGACAGGAGTTTTGTCCCCAAGGCAGGGGTGGGGTGGGCCTTCTACAAGATACCTGACCAGCACTCTTCAAAGCTATCAAGGTCATCAAGAGCAAGTAAAGTCTGGAAAACTGTTACAGACCCGAGAAGGCTAGGGGCACACAAGGGACCGAATGGAAACGTGATATCCTGGATGAGTTCCTGGAGCCCAAAAGACATTAGGGAAGAGCTAGTGAAATGTGAATAAGCTGTGCAGTTTAGTTGTTGGTCATGTACCAGCATTGGTTCCTTGGTTGTGACAAATGTCCCTAATAATGTAAGCTTTTAACATTGGGGAAACTGAGTGAAGGGTATAAGGGAACCTTGTGCTGTCTTTGTTGTGGAAAAAGCAGATTCCGACACACAGACCAGTTGAGTTTATCGATTTTAAATATCCACATCATTTTTGGTGCAATGAAAAGTCAGATCGCCACAGCAGTGAGCCTTTGCCTGATCTCCTTTAGGCCTCTGTCGTCATTGTAATACATTTGAAGGGTTGATTATTGGGAGCTCTTGCTTTTGCCTTGTTCTCTAGGTAGATCTAGTAGGTCTCATAGGATCTACTGAGCCATATGAGGGGACATGCCTGTTATTTGACTGTTAAAGCTCATGGAGCTTTATTTTTATGAAATGGCACCCAACTTTGCTTTGTAAGGTCCCCAAGGCCAGGCTCGGGGAACTCCAACTGAGCATGCTAAACTGGCTTCCTATAGGACTCTGAACCATTGCCACTGTGGCCTTCAGATTCTCAGCCTGGGAAGAGGTGGGAGGGATGGTATATTTGGGTTTCTTGCCCACAGTCTTTCAGAAAAATTCTGTTGTCTGTTTTAATGGTTATGTTGCATATGCCCCCTCCATCCTACACATGGGGTTTCTCGTGGAAGGATATGCATATTTTATTGTTTTTTCATATAGATATTGCCAGATTGCCTTCCAATTTTATACTGTGTTCCAATCT